CCCACCCCCACCCCCGCCTTTGGTGTTTGAAGCCTGGTCCCTTTGGCCCTTCATGATCACACATGTTGATGTGCTGCTTCCATGTGGGCTTTGTTGCTTCTGGGCTAGATGGCCCTAGCTACATGCTGTCACCTTCTGTAAGCCCTGGGGATTGTTCTTGGCTTCTAGAAAAAAAAGCCTGCCTTGCTCTGTTCTTTTCTTCATTTTTCTGTGTACAGCTCTCTGCTTTATAACAGTGGGAAGGTTGCTTTTGAGGTGTGTAACAAAAATAAAAACCACAGGTAAGTTTTTAAGGTTTTTTTGAGCCCTCAAAGCTTCGAGGTTCTGAAAAAAATAGGCCACCTTTCTGCTGACTACTTTCCAATTGCTCTATTTCTCAGACCTGTATGCTTTCTTATGCCCACTAGCTCTGAGTGTTGGGTTTCTTCTTAACTCCTTTCTCCATCTGTGAAATAAAGTCAAGGCTTCACTGAGGACCTGCAGATATAGTTAGGACAGAGGGACAGATAGAAACAAGTAATATTGTGTGTAGGCTTATCCCAAAATGTTTCTAGGACTTTTTTAGTGGTCTTTGGGTTTATATATCAAGGGGTAAAATGGATCACTCCATTAAAAGGAGTCCTAAGATCTATCAAGCTCAATTAAATGTGATTTAATATCTGGGGAGCTCCCCAGATTATACTTCACAAACCCTAATCTGGTAATGCCAATTTCAAGAATAAATTATCTCATAAAGTGACCTGTTTCTTTTCCTAGATATAGATGGTGAGCAGTAATAGACTGCCTGTTGAACTAGCAGTGTAAATTTTGGCGGTATCAGAATTTCTCGTATATAAGGAATTGGACGAGGATGGCTCTTTTAGGACATGGGGGTATGGAGGAGAGATGGACTGGGATTGACTGTTATAATTTAATTTTCTCTCTCCCTTCTAGAATTTAGCTAGACAACCATTTGCTGTTGTCTTTTTAAATTGTTCTATTATAATAAAAATATATGTGTGTGTGAGTCGTAAGTCAAAAAATGTTTACATGTGCAATTCAGTGGTACTGGTTAAATTCATTATTGGCATTGGCATGATCCCTTTCTAAATCACCCCACCACTTACCAGAAACTCATTGCCTCTAAGTAAAGCCACCCCTCTTTCTTCTTCCCTCTGTTCCCTGCTAACAGCTTACAAGATTTGGCCTCCATGCTCTCTCTAGTGTAGATATTCATGTTAGTGAGATGGCTAACTCACTTCACTCAGTTTTCCAGGTCCATCCTTGTTGTGGGCATTTATCAGGGCTTTCTTCCCCTTTATGATAGAGTAGTATTCCACTGTCCGTGTGCCCCACGTTTGCTGTTTCTGTTCACCTGTTGGTGATCAGTCAGCGGTTCCCACTGAAGGAAGCACTGCAGTGAACGTTGGTATCTGCACACTGCCGCTCGCTTCCCACCTAAGACTTCCCATCAGTTGCAGAATTCGCTTGGATGGCAGTGGGTGTGTTAGGTTTTGGTTTTCATACATTTCAGCCCAACTTCATTATCCTTTTGTTGAAATATATTGGCCCCTTACTAAGTGTTCTCCACCATCTCTTACTTAAAAAGATAGAGAACAAGAGAAAAGGTGAATTGTAACACCATTTCACATATGAAAGATGATAAAGATAATAAGTAGAAAACAAGAAAATGTATGAAACTCTGGGAGAAGTGTCATAGTCTATTTAAGGATTGTGGGCAAGTCAATGTGTTTTTGTTTTTTAATTTAGGAGTAGAAGGACAGTCTGTGGAAATTTCCAACATTGTGGATATCAGAAAAGAATACAACCGTGAGATTGCAATGAGAATCTCTTCTAACATCAACAGCCAAAATAGATTTTATACTGACCTGAATGGATACCAGGTAATTTCCCTTCGATATGTCAAAGTAATGGTTATATCATTATATAATTTTTTACTGGTAATAAGCCAGTTAATTTTGAGTGTTTAAAAATAAACACAATTAAGATTGAAAGTTTACTTTTAAAGTAAAACTGAATTTTAACTGAAAATTTTAGATTCGGTATTCAATCATAATTTCCAAAGTCAGATGAATATTTAATAGATCACTTGTGGAAGGCCTATTCATAACTCTTTCCCCCCCAGGGATAATTGGGCAACCATTATGTCTTTTAGATACTTTGATACTAAAAATACATGAGATTGTCTAATTGAAAGGAAGCATAATTAGGGATTAATGGATGAGTTTTTTTATTTACTTATAAGAAACCAACCTGTGAATATTTAGTTTATTCTATATATATTTTTAAATGTATGATCCGTTAATGGATTCTTTTAAATTTCTTTTTTTTTTAATTTCTTGAGAGTGCTTTTTCCACAAATTTTTTTTCATGTTGTCAATTATCAAGTTTAATAAATTTTTAGAGTTTTATTGGCATATATTTCACATGTCATGTAATTTATTTATATTATAAAGAGTTGTACCATCATCTCCACAATCAATTTTATAACATTTGCTTCTGTCTTGTACTCATTATAAACATTTCTCTACCTCTCCCCAATCACCCCTCCAGACTTCCCAAGAAACCATCTAGTCGCTCTAGCACTGTAGTCTCTATAGCACTATCTGGCTTGATATACAGAAAACATAAAATTCAGGGGAAAAAAACAAAAATGCTCCAATGCACTCTGCATGATAGTAAGGCTAGTCACATCCCTGGCCTACTGTCAGAGGGAATTCACCAGAGAAGCCATATGTGGGCCCTGCAAATGGATTTTGGGCTTCCACTGTCATCCATAGCCTTCTGCAAACTGGGTGTATACAATTGAAGCTCTGATACCATTCCTTTCTTTTGGTTTGAGTTTATCATTCACAATCCTTGGATCTCACCAGCTGTTGTGCTGATTGCTACCTAAAACTCAAAATTCAGAATGGAAGGCGTGGGTCGTATCTTTTAATAATTTTTAAAATATTGCTGTGTTTTTAAAACAGCATTTTAACCATTTCTGGCTATGAATAGAAATAATTTCATAACAGTTGTTTTTACTTGGTCTGATTTTCAGTGGATATGGATAGAAGGGATTGTGATCATTTTCTTTTCTATGATTTCCTCCAAAAGTTAAATTTAAACATTTTCCAAAGCGTAAAAATTACAGCACACATTTTGAACTAACACATTAATTCTACTACAGCTGTTTGGTTTTCAAATGAAACCCTGACTTTATGGTGATTCATTTTCCTGATGTATGAAAGAAAGTCTTTTCTGAAATTCTACAGAAGCAATTATTTTCATGTGTGGGCGTATACATGAATGAAAAAAACTTAGTTAAAATGAATAGTGGAAAATGTGAATATTCTTTTCAAAGACTGAGCATTTGAATAAATAGGAAAATATTATTTTTAAGTCTACTGAGTCTTTAAAAATAAACTATTTTTAAGCTTTTGAAAGTGGCAATTGGGTAAGAGTAAAAATCTAGAGCCATGGGTTCGGGGCAGCAATATGATTATGGCAATTTAAATGTCTTTTTCAGAAGGAGATTATTAGTTCATTAACCATGTAAGGGACAAGATGGAAAAGAAGATACAGGGAATTCTGTGTTTAAATATAGTTTTAAATGTTTTTCTTTTTCTTTCTTTTTTTGTTCCTTGTAAGCTAAGGCACACAGTAAGTGTGTAGGTTTGGTATGAAAGTTCAAGATCAAAATTATGAATTATCTAGTACTATACATGACATAGTGGGAACTCCATGTTAGCTATTGTATCACTTTTATGTTTTTTGTTTTGAGTTTCTTGGTAAACTTTTACGAGAGTGAACACTGTACATGGATAATTCACTAACATCAATTATATTTATCATGTTGTTCAACTGTTATCCTTATCCAATCACACATATTTCCATCACCATTAACAGAAGCTCAGTGTCCCCTAAGCACTATGTATTCCTTGGAATTTTTAAGTGGGATGAATTAAGATTCCCTGGTAACAAGGAAGCCTTGGTGCTGTTAGTGGGTTACCTGTTGGGCTGCTAATGGTAAGGTCAGCAGTTCTAAACCACCAGTCACTCTACATAAGAAAGAAAAGCATCTTGCAAAACCACAGGAGCAGTTCCCCTCTGTACTTATGGTCACTACAAGTCTGGGTCAGTGAGATAACAAAATCTGTTCCAGTTTCCTCAGAGAGTTAACAAGGTCACTTTGACCTGGACTTGCATTAGGACACTTTCAAAATCTAAAGAAAGTAAAAATTGTATTTCATACACTCAAGTTTTAAATGTAGAGAGACTGTAATGTAGAATCTGCTTTGAAACAAAACAAGAAGAGTAATAGCATTGAATGGTTTTTCAAAACAAATATGCATTTGATTAGAATGCTAGAGGATTTGGTGGTGAGATCTGTGATAATGTATTAAAAGTGACTCTTTCGAGTATTATAAGAGATTTCTTGAAAGGGGATAGAAAGCTATTATACTTAGCATTCATTACCAAAGCAGTGTGGTAGACTTAGATGAGAAATGAATACTTAATACCTTTATAATTTGTTTTATGCAAATATTGGAGAGCTAGACGACTTTTTTATTAAGCATTTTTATTTTGAATTTAAAGAGCATTGTTTTTTAAAGATCTTAAAGTTTGCTTTCTCACTTAAATCTGAGATCCTCATGGTTTTTTTTCGTATGTTACTTTTAAATTATCTCCTTCCTTGAGCAACAAAGGAAACGACTTTTTTCTTCTTTGTCGGAGGGTGAGTATTCATAGTCAGTACTAATTTGTCTATGGAAGTGTTAATTGATTTTGTTTTTTTAATAAGAGAATTCTTTGGTCTTCCAGATTCAACCCAGAATGACAATGAGCAAACTGCCTCTTCAAGCAAATGTGTACCCCATGACTACAATGGCTTACATCCAGGACACTGAGCATCGGTTGACACTTCACTCTGCTCAGTCTTTAGGTGTTTCAAGTTTGAAAAGTGGTATGTGTTGTTTCCATTTTTTATGCTCTGTAAGGTTTCAGTTCCAATTTTAAAGTTTTTCTACTGATCAAAATGTACGATTATCGTTTTCTGTCAATAGCTTCACTGTCTCCTTTCCAGCAGCCTGGAATTAATTGATTTGAGGTTTTGTGAGACAACATAAAATGATCCGTTTCTTCAACCTTCAGATGGAGAACAACTCCATGCCACATGAAACAATTTTTTCTTCTCATGATAGTGGCTATGTATTAGGGCCCTTGTGATTGCCTTAACTTGACAGATGCAGAAAGTAACCTCTGAGCATTTGGATTATTGTCCAGATGTGCAAACTTGGGATGTTTCAATTCATACTTGGGTTTTTCTCTAAATTATGGTCTCTTTATTGCACCACCACCGAAAAAGGAAGAAATGGATGATAGAGCCATGGGCTAAAGAGCGAACGAACAGACATGGGTTATCTCCCTGCCATTGAGTCAGTGCTGACTCATAGTGACCCCTGTGAGTTTCCGAGACTGGAACAGTTTACAGGAGTAGAAAGCCCAGGCTTCCTCCTGAGGAGCTGCTGGTGGCTTCCAACTACCGACCATGTGGATAGCAACCCAATGCAGATTATAGGGGTCCAAAAGATAGAAAGATTAGGGGGTAGACGGACTCTGTTAGTTTTTCTGTTGGGACGCTACTAACCTTTCTAATAAATACATTTATTTTTGCATTTAGCTTTTTATATTGGCTATCAATTATATCGTGGGAGAAAAATGGGGCTTTCTATTCCCGTAAAGTTACAGTCATGGAAACCCACACAGAGACATTTCTACCCTGTCCAGTTGGGCCGCTATGAGTTGGATCGACTTGATGACAGTGAGTGAGGGAATGCTCATTAATATGTCTCCCGCTGTGCTCTTTCCCTAAAATACTGAGTTACTAAGTTAATCTCTAAAAGAGCCAAAAACCAAATTCACTGCCAGCGAGTTGATGCTTACTCATTGGTATGGTTCTCCATTTACCGCGGGGCAGCCACTACTTACTGCTGACTAACTGTGGGCCCAATTTTTCAAAAAGAATCAGAACAGCTTGAATGTAATATGAAGTCTTCCAATGTGAAAGTTTTGGCATAATCTTTTGAAAAACATAAAGCATCATTGTGCCAGATGAAATTCTTGAATCACCCATTTTAAAGTTCTGCCTTACATTCATCGAGTTATACTCTGGATGCGAGATTCGGTGGATGACAAACCCAGCTGTATTCTCTCCTTTCTCAGAATGAGATGAGTTGAGAAATAAAACCCTGCCTGTGCTGTGGGCATTATAGGTACACACATAAAAACAATTGGAGTACAGTTTAGGAAACTGGTGTCATTGTGTGTCGTGTGAACTACCATTTGAAGTCAAAGAGAAAAAGAGCTAGAAGATATTGGTAAGTGAATTTAAGTGTGAAGTGATGAAGCTCCAGATAAGTTATGGGGCATTTGGTCCCAGTGCCTGGGGAGTGAGGTCAGAGCAGTTGGCTTTTAAAACCTGGATGTTGGATAGAGTAACAACAGCGGGGGCATGATAAGAAAATTGTAATCAAGTAATTTTATATACTGGATACCTCAACGGAGAAGACAGAAACTAAATAGACTGTTTAACTATGTATCAGTACTATTACAAAAATATTGTATGCTACCTATTTCCATTTTAGGCCAAATGATCATTTAATAATAAAACATTTGAATGAATAACTGTTTGTTTGTTGAGCATATCTAACTTTGTAATTCTTACTTGAGCACAATCTTAAGTGCATACATAGGGTTTTAAAATATCTAATATTATAGCCTAATCAGCCTACAATGCAAACTGGAAGATAGAGTACTACATAGTAAATGAAGGGATCAACTGTGACTCCAGGAAACAGACAGTGGAGATGACAGTACTAAGCAGAGAAGGGAGTACAGGGTGTCTCCAAATTCCAGGGATATATAGAGAAATGCCATATATCAAGTAAACAGCATTTCACTTTTAAATCCATTTAGGATCCTACCTTCCTGCCATCAAGTCACTTCTGACTCATAGTGACCCTGTCTCATTCACTGCCATCAAGTTCATTCTGGCTCATAGCTTCCCTCTACAGTAGGACAGAGTAGAACTGCCCCTCTGGGTTTCTGAAACGGTAAATCTTTATGGGAGTAGATAGCTTCATCTTTCTCCTGTGGAATGGCTGGTGATTTTGAACTGCTGACCTTGAGGTTAGCAGCCTGATGTTTAACCCACTACACCACCAGGACTTCCTAGTAACCCTATATATCTATATTTATCTTATTACTCCTTGTGCGATGTGCATTTTCTAATGAACTTCATGAAATGCTACTTCTAAAAGTTGTGGTGAGGATTGTATAACTCTTCTTTATATGATTGAACTATTGAATTGTATGTTATATGCATTATATGCCAATAAAACTGTTGGGGGAAAGAATGAAATGTTACCATTTTAAAAATTCTAGTACTTAAAATTTACTCAGAGATTGCTTTCTTTTTTTAAGTTCCATTTTAGTTTTCATCTTTGGTCCCATTTTTAAAACTTCAAATCTGATATTGTTGAGTATTAATAAAGAAAAGCAGAAATACATTCCTGTTTCATGAGCTTACCCTGGCTGCTTCAAACTTTTATCGGGAATGATCTCATGCTACATTGGGTTGTGTAAATCTATCTCCTTGGCTCGATGTGAAGCTAATTAACCTCAATGAGCTTTTGTATTAAATAATTTATGTGAATATTTGTATTACTATTTGTATTAAAAGTGGACCGGCTTTGTTGCTTGCTGGCTTGTTTTCCAGGTCGGATTGAAGTTATCATGGATCGGAGACTCATGCAAGATGATAATCGTGGCCTTGGGCAAGGTGTTCATGATAACAAGATTACAGCCAATTTATTTAGACTACTACTAGAAAAAAGAAGTGTTGCTAACATGGTAGGAATACACATAGCTTCTGTGTGGGTGATGTTTGTTGATTGATCTCCAAAATTTGAGATTAGAGTTTGCCACCTTTTTTATTTAACAATTTCTGCTTTTGATATATGCTTATAATAAATGTAGCCAATCATCATAGAAGGTGGACTTCTGTTTTCTATATCTTGTGTGAGTGTTATTTGGGTTATTTGTTTTATTTATTTACTTTTGTACTTTAGTTTTATCGTGTAGCTTTTTTTTTTAAAAAGGTCATGTAATCAGTTTGGGTGAAATGTTTTCAAATTATGTTGAAAGAAATTAGAGTAAAAGAATGTGACATGATTACACACTTAAGAGATTAATTAGTGAAAATTTTTTGAAACTGTAGTACTTATTTTGATCTTGGATTCATCAGCTGAAGATGCGATTACTATCCTGTCTTCCTGATTTTAAATTTTCATTCCTCAGAGTGAAAATTTGATACATTCTTTTAAGCAGTCTGGCAAAAGCCCACCTAAACCTCAAGCAGCCTGACAATGTGCTTAATTCAGGTAGCAAAAAGTCATCCTCAGTCCCCCGGAAGTCACTGGCCACCAACCAGCCGACCTTAGGTGGAGCTCAGTGGAGCCCCGTGTCTGTTTACTTTACTCCCTGTTTCCATACTGACCTTTTCAATTCTGCTATGCCTTTCCACAGTGACCTCCCCTCCGAATAGTCACCTACTATTTCACCTTGGCCTTCTTCCCTCCTGGTGTAATAGAGAAGTTCATCTTCCTTTGCTCTTAGGTCATCCCTTGCACTCGCCCTAAGTCCAGGGAGACTCGTGTAAAGAAAGAGCTTTATATACAAGAGCAGTTGAATATTGAGAAAACCTCCCAGCCCAGTCCAGACCAAGTCTGTAAGTCTGATACTAACCCATATGTCCAATACCAATCTGTAAGGTCCTCTTCAGACTGACGAAACACATGCAATGACGCCGAATACAGGAAAATTACAGTGGGTTGGCAGTATTGTGGATCCAGTGTCATTGTAAGCATCTCAGCACTAGTTCCTTCATCTCCCAGGGCTGCATCAGGGTAGCTTCATGTGGCTCCTCTTCAGAAATGTCTCGCAGGGAGTGAGCGTTGTCAGTAGAGAGTCTCCAAAGGCATGAGCAGAAGAGAGTGTGTGTCTCCCTGCCTCCAAGGAGGATTTACAGGAGTCCCCAGAATCCTCAGGAGAAGGCCATGCCCACACTGAGGCCTCATTGGCTAAATCCTGGTTGATAGTCTAGACTCCACTCCTGCGCTCTTAATCCTCAAATTGACACCAGATTATGTAACTACCGCATACCCCTTTATTTTCCTCACAAACCTTTCATTATTAATCCTAACTCCTTTTCCCCTTCCACATCCTTCATAACATAGATGCACCTTTCCATAGAGCCTTTCCGTTGCCTTTTAAACATTCTCTGTGGTCTCTTATTGAAAATAACCCTCACATCCACTTGCATTCTTGTTTCCCCTACACTACTACCCTCTCTCTGCTACCTTCTAAAGCCAGAGTTTATGAAATGAGCTAATTTCACCATTTGCCTCTCACGCTCAATTCATTTCAGTCTGGCTTTGTTCTCCCTCACTGGGTCCGTGGACATTTTAGTGTTATCTCACATAACGTTTTCCAGCAGCTTTCCATGCCGTGGAAGCTTCCACGGTACCTCTCCTGGCTTTCCTCCTTCCTTTTTGACATCTTTCTCCGTCTCTTAGTTCATTAAATATGGGAGTCCTCAAGGCTAAGACCCAGGCGTTCTTATTTCCTCATTTTATGTACTCTCCCCCAACAATCGCTTCCTCTCTTAAGACTTTCATGACTGTTTCTACACCAATGAAACCCACAGTGGATATGTCCAGCTTGGCCTCATGTCTCATCTCCCTACCTATCTTCGAATTACTTCCTCACATTTCTTTCTGTTTCTGTCAAGGGCACCTTCAGGACATCGACCACGTTTAAGATACCATGGTCTTTATTCGACCTCAATTTGGCCCTTTTGATTATTTCCTCACTTGGCTACTGGCATTTGAATCCAGTGCCAAATGAGATGCCTAGGAGGCATCCCTGATAAATAACTTCTCCCTCTCCAGTCATGACCTGCACCTCTGTGTCTCAGCGAAATATTTCATACCTGTAGACTTCTTTACCTCCACCACTTTTGTCTGAACTCAAATCATGTGGTTCCTGGCTCACGGCTGTACATCCATTCTGCTCTTCTCTTGCGGTGATATCTGTTCTCAACCCAGAAAGCAGAGTGATGTGTTTTTTCAAAACTGGATCTGACCTTATTGCCCCTCTTGCTTAAGTTCTCTGATGACATATCATTGCTGTCAGCATAAAAGCCAAAGTCCTTACCATGAGCCACAGATTCGCTTGCGATTCAGGCCTTGCATCACCTAGCATGCCTCTCCAGCTCTCTCTGCACAGGACTCACAGGATTTCTTTCCATCCACTGTGATCTCCCACTTAGAGCCTATCTGCACAGGCCTGTTCCTCCTCTTTGCTCAGATTGGGACTCATACTGTCACCGGCTTCTCCCTGGCCAGGTCACATTCCCTTCTCCTGTGTTCCAGCAGAACCATGTATCATCTCTCCCTATCTGAGTGTGTATTTACTTAAATGGCCTGAGAGTTGTTAGCTAGCCTACCGTTGAGTTGTTTGTGCTTCATCACAACCTCATGTATAACAGAACAAAATGTGGACTTATCCAGCTTCATCCTCACACTCATTAGCAAGCTCAAATCTGTCACTGAGGATAGTATGCTGGTCCATCTCACTTATGGTCTCCCTTGCCCTTCTGGGCTGTTGACTTCATCAAGCACAATTTCTTCCTCTGTCGATTGATCCTCCCTGATGATGTATCCAAGACTAGCAATTCAGGCATGTCCTGTTGTGCCCTATGAAGATTTGATTGACCAGTTTTTAGAATAAGATCTATTGATTGACCAGTTTTTAAAATAAGATCTATAAGGTTTTTTTGTTAGTCACTCTTAGCCTAAAAGCTCTGCTGAAACCTGTCCACCATGAGCAACCCTGCTGGCATTTAAAATACTAGGGCTATGCTTCTCTGTGCTTTAGACTGTTCATGGCAGAGAAATCCCACATGTATGCTATAGAGGGGGAAACACAAATGAGTCAATGATTGGCCTAAGGCCATGCTTTGTATCAATGAAATAGTTTATATAAGGATTAAGATAAGATAGCTAAAGATTGAACTTGACTTTTTAAGAATTGAGCTTAGGATCTATCTGTACTATTATTTTCTGCCTGTTATTGATATAACGATTGATAGAAATTATTATTGGGAATTAAAAATAGTTTTAAGCCTCTTTGCTGTAAGCCATTAAATTTGGATCTTTAGATGGGTGTATGACATGCCTACAAAGAAGGTTCTGGAGGAAAAAAAACCCACCCAAGGCTTTGGAATAATCAGAACATTTGCATTTGAAGAGACTTGCCCTAGGTGGCTATTGACAGACTGAGAAGACCAGAAAAAAAAGGGCCCCATTGGCTTTTTGAATATTGAACTAATCAGTTGTCTGAAGGTAGAAAACGTTGGAGCCCTGGAGGAACTCTCCTCTCTAGGACTGAAGGTTAAAGGGAGCCTGCAGGCAGCCTGAAATGCTGCTAGGTGACCCTGGATCCATTTGTTCAGTGGAAGTGAGAAACGTAGCAATGGAGTGATGAGATGGGTTGAGTCTGGCCACTGAGACCTGTGGACCTGATTCACAGGGACTAAGAGGAGAAGATGAGAATGGGTTGGCTCGTCTAAAGTTCATGACCTGCCCCCAGGGTCCTAGGGTTGTTGAGAATTTGTGGCGGGACATGAAGCAACCAATGTGCACCTAAGGCTAAGTGAGGGGACCCACATTGAGGTGACCAGAGCCCAACCAGATGAAGATGAGATTTTTGAGCCTGTGAATTGGTACATATTGCTGACTGTAGGGACAGCCTGTCCTGATTGATTTGACTTTGCTTCTGGATGCAGCCAACACAAGATTCCAACTGGAATGAAGATTCTTCACATCAAAGAATATTCTTCTCTCTTCAGAGCACTGGGTTGATATAAGTGAGTAGTATGGAAAGTGGAAACCCAAAATTGGGGATAAAGGCATGAAGTGGCTGCCTTACAAACATTCATAGGTGGGAGATTATGTTCATAGGATTATAGGATTATGGTATAGGTGTCTCTTAGCTGCAATTGTTAGGCATAGGATATTTTGTTCACTTGCGGAATATTATGTTTAAATGAGGCTTACCCATTTTGAGTTGTATGCATTTTAGTTTTATCATGTTATACAAATATGACTTTACTATTTTGTGTAAGAATTATGTATGGCTAAAGAGTTTTGTAAAAATGTCAACTTGACAAGATGGTCTGTGGGAGTTATATAATTTCATGTCGACTTGATAAATAGAATAAAGGGATGGAGTCGAGCCAGGTCACAGCTTCTCTTCCTCCCTGGAGGGCAGGACACACACTCTACAGACACACACTCTCTCAGCTTTACCATCTATTGGAGGAGTCAAGTGGAAATTCGCCAGAGCCTGAGATGCTTCTACCGCTACTGGATCAACAACACTTTGCACCCAACAGCCTGTGATCTTCCTGCATTCAGCATCATTGCATGTGCTGGGTCAGTCTGAAGAGGGACTTGTAGACTAGTATAGGACATATGGGCTAATAACAGACATATAAACTTGATCTGAACTGGGCTGGGATGTTTTCTTAATATATAATTACCCTTTGATATAAAACCCTCTCTTACACAAATATGAGTGTCTCTGAATTTGATTCTCTAGTTAATCCAGACTAACACAGAAGGCGATTAGGTTATTTTGTAAGAAAAATTAAATGCATAGCTTTGAAAAATACTCCATTTTGGGGGGGTACTCCCATACTCACTACACTTATTTCTCACTCCTGTGTCTTCCAGGAAGTCATGTGTATGTTCTATTCCCCTGCTAAATTCCAAGGACTGTCTCCTTTTTTCACGTGTGCTTCATGGGCCTCCTAGCCTAAGACAGACATTCCTTTATATTCTGGTGATAAGACAGAGTTGATTAAATAAAATACCAACAACTCATTAAAACAAGGAATTCTTGTAATATCTAGATTACTTTAGGAAAAACATTTTAATAGCCATTTTAGATAATAAAATTAATATGTGTTCTGTGTATCAAGTTTTAAATCAATTACTAACAAAGTACCTTAGTTTTAAGGCTGAAAATACGTAGGAAAATCATTGCATGCTGGCAATTACTGTCTGGTTTCTCCTGAATGTCTGGCTTATATGACTCTCTCCATATTTAGAGACTAATCTATAAAACTTCTATAAAATATGGCTATAAAACTGTTCATGTCAAATCTGTAAAGCTTTCCCTTAGAAGTCAAACAATTTGCATATTCCCAGTTAAAACTCCTTGGGTAGGAATTTATTTAAATTGGATCCAATCTCCTTATTACGTTGTGTTTGTCAAGTTTTTCTTTCACTCAACTATAGATTCTTGGGCTTAAATCAGTAATTTCTTTTAAATTAAAAAATTGAACTGGAGAAGATACAATTTAATCTCTGGTGGTATTAATAAAAGCAGTATTTGATAAAGAAGTGTTACTGCATATCATGCCATATAATTTTCTTAGATGTTTGATTTCCATTCTGACTTTTAAAATATCGCCGGTGGAAACTGAGATGGAGAGAAGAGGCCTCTAGTCCAGGCTTCCTGTAGATGGTAAAATAACGCCTGTCAGAGCCTCAGATCAAGAACCCTTGGTGACTGACTGCATGCAAGTGTGCCCTCCGCCCCTTGTTCTACAGGGAGGGGCTGAGAAGAAGACCAAATGATCATCCCTGAGGGAGATGTGGATCCCCAGTTGAGGCAAGAAGTTGACTGCCTCTTAATGATTCTAAGTACCAGTGGAAGATGGATAGATAGTCTCTTTGACATGACGCCTTTGTAAATTTTGTTTCTTTAGCCTTTGAGCCCACCTGCGCTAGTGTTCAATTTAGTTAAAGGGGACATTGAGCAAGGAATGAGAAGCCCCTGGGTTTAGTTCAAGTGTTAGAATTGTGTCATTTTACTCAGTATCCCAGTTCTTTACATACTGGGAAGCTTCAAAATGCTCGTGGAAAAGTGAAATTACAAGATACTGGAATTTTTCCATGAGCCTTTTGAGGCTCCTTTGTACATTTAAGGAGGGGAAGTTGGGAAAGATCCAATCCAAGAGCAGTCAGGATAGTGATGACGTGGGAGAGCCCTGTGTAGCCCAGGAAGGTCTATAGGGAACTGAGGACACATATCCCACCTAGGACCAGGCAACAGCTCCACACCGGTCGGTGGCTCCTCTCACAATTGCGGTTTTGCTTTTGCTTTTTTTGTTTTGCTTTGCTTTTCTGCTGCTGGGTTTTTGGGGGGGTTGGGGGTGGGGGTGGGGCGGGTGTCAGTTAAATATCCTGATTTTCCTCTTAACTTGAAAAGGTTAGACGTAAAAGCCACTTTGTAATACCATGGAGCCCTACCATAGCTTATCTCTCAGCCACATTTGGCCCACAGGTCACCAGTTCTCAAGTCTTGCTTTCATGATAATTCTCTCTAAAAGTTATGATTTATTTCTGATTTTACTATTTTCTCACCTTCTCCCTCTCCTCTTTTCTCCCTGACCATACCCCTGGTAGTACTTAGTGTTCATTTATCTATATTGCATCAGCTTATTAATTTAATAGATTTAAATTTGATAAACATTTATCACGTTCCTGCTATGTGTCACGTCATCCTAAATACTAGTGATCTAAAAAAAAAGGAAGGAAAAATGATCATAAGTATATACTTAAGTATATAATTTAGCAAATAGTGATGTCAGTGATCAAGAAGTTTTTGATGTTGAAGGGGAAATTACCTGGAAAATCAGCTTAATAAATAACATCAGGGCTACTGGTGGCCAGAAATTCTGATGTAAGGAATAAGGGCTAGGACCAAATGGATAATGTGTTAGTCTGGGTTGACAAGAGAAACAATTCATTGACACTCAGATATGTGTAAAGGAGAACTTTATATCAAGAAGTAATTATGCATCAGTAAAACAGCCCAGCCCAGTCCAGGTCAAGTCCTTAAGTCGGATAGTGCCCATGAATTCCTCTTCAGATAAACAGCACATGCAATGATGCCGAATGCAGGAAGATCACAGGCCGGTGGGTGAAAAGTCGTGTGGATCCATTGGCAGTGGAAGCATCTCAGCACTGGTGTTGGTCTCTGTAAGGTAGTCGAGAGGCGCCAGAAACCAAATCAGTCAAATTAGAACAAACGGGCTTTATTAGGGAGAAAAACCCAGCCTGGGCGAAGTCCCACAGTCCACAATGTCTGTGCTGGGGGAGT